GCTGGGGGATAGCAGGTTATTTAGAGGCAAATAGATTTTGCAGTCATTCCTGTAGGAGGTCATGAGGCTGTAAACTTAGTGAGCAGGAGTCAGGAAAGGAAGAAGAAATAGAACCAAGTGTTTTCTTGGGAGTAAGATTGCTAGACTTTGGAGAACCTTCGCCAGAGTAAAGTAAAAGAGTGAGGAAGTCCATAACTGAGAGGTCACAGCCACAGCTGGGCAGAAATCATTTCATCATTCTGTTCTCCTCAGACTGGGACATGCAGAGCATGAAATCACTGAGCTCACAGCCACCTTCACCAAGTTTGACAGAGATGGGAATCGCATTCTGGATGAGAAGGAACAGGAACAAATGCGACAGGACCTGGAGGAAGAGAGGGTGAGCCAGGCTGATAGGTGGAGAGGCGGTGTAAGGAAATAGGTCACCTTCCCCTTCCCCTTTCCCCCTTCCCTCTTCCCCCAACACATCTAGAACACAAACCCAACCTGAAAACTCTCCCATAGACAGATGGTAAAGAACTCTCTAGAATAGTAGTTCTCAAACTGCTGCACGTTAGAATACCCTGGGGGGCCTTTAAAAATCTTCATACTCAGGACACGCACTCTAGACCAATGAAACCACAGTCTCTGGTATAAGGCCAGACATCAGTGCTTTTTAAAACTCCCTAGGTGATTCCAATATATAGTCAAGGTTGAGAACCATGCTCTAAAACACAGGCTTAGGGGGAAATGACCCATTCCCTAAGAATCCCTGATAATTCCCTCGGAGGATTTGCTCTCTCCTGGGAATTTTCAAACTCGGGTTCCCAGCTGTCCCTATTCTGCCTGCTCCGTCCCTATCCGGTGCAGACCAAAAAAAGTCAAAGACAGGGTGACAGCAGCCTAGAAAGTGCCAAGAACGCCGGTAGTGTTCCTCCTCTGCTAAAATGAGTTGGCATCTAGTGAACACCTCATCCGTCAAGGCTTCAAGGATCTTGTATTTTCTTTGAGAGGTGACTCTCCTCCAGAGGTTGGTTCAGCACCACGACCCTGACCCTATTGTCTCCAGAGTCTGGGAGGGAAGGGGAATAGCAAGAACTAGAACCCGAGGCTTGGTTCTGAGGTCCTGGTAGAGCGGGGTGATAGAACAGGAGCTGATGGCTTCCCAGAGTTATCTCCTGTCCTCTAACGTCTGACTTCCTGAGCAGGTGGCCCTCAACACTGAGATTGAGAACCTGGGCCGATCCATCGTGAGCAGCCCACAAGGCGAGTCGGGCGCAGAGACTGCCAGAGCAGGAGGCTGGATTTCAGAAGAAGAATTCTACATGTACGTGCAGTCAAGAAGGGCTGGCTCAAGGCTGACAACACTTCTATTATGATATCCTATCTTGTACTTTTTCCCACAACTTTCCAATTCTCTGTCCTACCCCAGGGAGAACCTCTGCTCCCCTTTAATTCTGCCTACCAGGCTGGGTCTTCTCTTCTTTGTTCCAATCCAGACACATGCCCTTCTGTGAACCCTGCCTCTTTAGATGCCCAGCCCCCAAACACAGATTTCTGCTCCATTCCTCTCTCTCAAATCCTACACAGGCTCACAAGGAGAGTTCTGCAGCTGGAGACTGTCCTGGAAGGAGTCGTGTCCCAGGTTGATGCTGTAGGCTCCAAGCTGAAAATGCTGGAGAGGAAGGGGTGGCTGGCTCCCTCTCCAGGCGTGGTGAGCGGCCCTTCACCTGGTCCTCCTAGTTTCTCATCAGTTGAACTCTGCTGTCTTTTCCACTCAGTGGGTGGGGCAAGAACATTTTTGAAAGCCCTACGTTTTCAGGCTCCTGGGGAAACAAGTTCACAGCTGTCAATTTATCAGCAGAGATGGGTCATGGAGATAAGGCCTGGAAGTTGCTTGCCCTGGCCTGAGGGCTGCCTTGGCCACTATGAGATGATCTGTGTCAGGCTGGTTGGGCTGCTATAATAAATTATTATAGACTGAGTGGCTTATTAAGCAACAAAAGTGTGTTTCTCATAGTTTGGGAGGCTGGGAAGTCTAAGATCAAGGTGCTAGTAGAATTGGTATCTGTTGAGGGCCCACTTCCTGATTCATAGACAGCTGTCTTCTTGCTGTGCCCTTTCATGGTAGAAGGGGTAAGGGAAGTCTATTTTATTTTTAATTTTTATTTATTTATTTATTTTTGAGACAGAGTTTTGCTGTTGTTGCCCAGGCTGAAGTGCAATGGCGTGATCTCAGTTCACCGCCACCTCTGCCTCACAGATTCAAGCGATTCTCCTGCCTCAGTCTCCTAAGTAGCTAGAATTATAGGCATGTGCCACCAAGCCCAGCTAATTTTGTATTTTTATTAGAGATGGGGTTTCTTCATGTTGGTCAGGCTAGTCTTGAACTGCCGATCCACCTGCCTCAGTCTCCCAAAGTGCTGGGATTACAGGCGTGAGCCACCGTGCCCGGCGGAAGTCTCTTTTATAAGGGCACTAAACCCATTCATAAGGGCTACATACTCACTATCTAATCACCTCCCAAAGGCCCCACCTCCTAATACTATCAGATTGGAGGTTGCAATTTCAACAGAAGAGTTTGGGAGACACAAACAGTCTATAGCAGTCTGAGTTCTCTGGAATCAGATACAGAAAAAAGAAAAGTGGTAAACAAACTATTTCTTCAAATGACTTGTCCCTTTCTTCTTCCAACAGGAGGAACAAGCCCTTTGGAAGCACCTGCAGCCAGCCCCAGCTGTGACTCCAGACCCCTGGGGAGTCCATCGTGGGCAGGAGAGTGGTGAGGGAGGAGGCCTAAAGCATCAGACAGCAGTCTCCTCTCCCTCTGCCTCCCCAGAGGCCCCCTCGCCACATCCGCTGCACTTCTAGGACAACAGGTCCCATCGTGGCTGCTGCTGAGCCCCACCCTGCATCTGGCCTTTTGAGCCAATGTTTCTGTGTGTGGTGGGCATCACGCTTAGGCTTGTGACTCAGTGTTTCTATGTGTCGCCACATAGCTCTGTGAAATAACATCTTCCACTGGTCCTTTTACTCCTTGTGCACTTAGCTCTGTGTGTTAAAAATAAAAAAAAAAGTTAATAAGAAACAGGATAAAGGGAGGGAGGGTAATGACTCTCCCTAAGCACCTGGATAGCCATAGTTTGTGAAAAGAGGTAGAAAATAAGAAAATAATGTCTAGATGTCTTCCTTCTTCCCACTGAATCTTATCCTTTGTGAAACTCAAGATCTGCTGCTAGCACCCATGGGTTTTTTGTTTTCCCCTATAGAGGTTCCCTATAGAAGAGAAGAATAAGTCTTAGAGGAGAGGAGATTCCCATGTGGTGAGATTCCAGTGTTGCAGAGGAGTTAAGAGTGAGGCACTCCCAGAGCAAAGTCTGTGAAGGCTCTTCTGCAGGAGGCTGCCTCCTGGTTCACTGAACCTGGGAACTGAGGGGGCTTTAACCAGGAGATTAAAATGGAGCCCGAAGGGAATCAGGCAAGGAAATGACCTCAGGATTTGGAGATCTTTGAGTTAATATGTGGTGGGTTCTGATATTATTCTTCTATAAGACCATGTGGGTTTCCATGGTGGCTATCAATAAAACTCCTTAGGAAAACTAGGACTTTGCATTTGCTTCGGGATTCTAGAGGGAAGAAAGGCTGAAACTGTGGGCCATCCATGTGCCTGGGCTGGAGCAGGTTCACGCTGTCTAGGAGGTATAGCGTAGGGGCAGTGATGTGAAGGAGCTGGGCTACCACAGGAGTCTGGAAATAAGAACTTCTAGCCCAGCGTGGTGGCTCACGCTTGTATCCTAGCACTTTGGCATTACAACTTGAGGCCAGAAGTTGAAGACGAGCCTGGTCAAAATGCTGAAACCCCAACTCCACTAAAAATACGAATAAATTAGCCAGGCATGGTGGTGTGTGCCTGTAATCCCAGCTACTTGGGAGGCTGAGGCATGAGAATCCCTTGAACTCAGGAGGTGGAGGTTGCAGTGAGCTAAGCCAAGATTGGGCTACTGTACTCATGCCTCGGAGACAGAGCGAGACTCATTTTTTTTTTTTTTTTTTTTTAAAAAGAACTTCTGACTCACAGGAATGGCTTGAAATAGTGGCTACTGTGGTTGCACCATAGGAAGAGTGGGGATAGGTGACAAGGGAGACTCAGTCCTCGGAGTGGACAGAGTCAGGATAGGAGAGCTGGGGATGGTGGGTAGCTGGTGTGTGTGTGTATGTATATGGTGTACTGGCATGGGGATGGGGTAAGAGGGTGCAGATGGAGGATAACCAGGGATGAGAAACTCCCACACCAAGATTTTGGGTGTCCAGGAGCCTGCCTGAGGCCTGCTGCGTATCTCCCCTCCCTCCTCCTGTGGTCTTTATTCCTCCTCATTTTGCATCTTTCATTCCTCCGCAGTCACTTCTCATCCATCTCTTTCACTCACCCCTGTTCTCCCATCCCATTAACTAATCTGTACACCTAGGAGACTTGTGAAACAGCTTAAATGCAATTAAGATAACCAGAGTGTATCCTCCGCCCTAAAAAAGTTACAGTCCAAGCTTTCTTCAAGAAAGGCTGTATCAAATGAAGAGAAGTAGGTGCCTGCCTGCAGTTTAAGAAATAGTGAGTTGGTGTTAACCCAGGACATTGGGAAGGGAGGGTAGTTTAGGACCAGGGATCAATGCCCGAAGGTTTCCCAAAGCCTGGACAAGACAACCTGCAAACGTTTGGATTCCCTGAGCAATCTTTTGATGACTAACTCCAGTGCGGAGTGTCGGGGAGGGGGGCTACCCGTCTTCAGTGGTTTTGGGACGGGTCGTGAGTGGTACAAAACAAGTGATCCCTCCAGGTGCGACTGTAGGGATGAGCTCGCCTTCAGTCCCAGACGTCGCGCCTGTTGGCAGTGGGTCGATTCACAACAGCCTGGCGTAGCTTCAATTTCGGCTCCGGAATCACCCTTTGGTGTGTCATAGCTGAGGCTGGGGAGGACCGCGAGGCGCAGGATCGCTGGGCAAGGCCGGGCGGGCGGGACACAGCCAGTGCGCATGCGCACAACCCGGGCCCGGAAACAGCGCCGGGTCAGCCATGGCTGCGGCAGCCGAGGGCGTCTTGGCGACCCGGCGTGAGGAGCCCGCTCGAGGTACCCGGAATGGAAGTGGAGGAAGCGTCCGGTGGGGGACCCGGGGGTCCGTCTCGGGAGGGCGGGGTTGAGTTCACCTGGCAGGAACGGGCTGGTGGGAGGAGTGCACCTGTCTTCGGCGCGCGAGGGTTTGTCTTGTCAGGGCGACTGGGATGGTTTGGCGCGGGTGCCGGGTCTGGACGAGGGCGGTGCGAGGGAGCCGAGTTGGTGTGTCGGGTGGACAGGGACACAGGGAAGGACTTGAAATTACGGCCGTTGGCGGATGGAGCCGACTTGATGGGATGAAGGCTGGTGGAGGGATGCCGGCACAGGCTGCTTCGGCCGGATTCGCTCCCGGTGTTGGGCGGGACACTTAGTCATTCTCCCCTGGCCCAGACGATGCCGCCGTGGAGACAGCTGAGGAAGCAAAGGAGCCTGCTGAAGCTGACATCACTGAGCTCTGCCGGGACATGTTCTCCAAAATGGCCACTTACCTGACTGGGGAACTGACGGGTGAGGCGGGATCGGGGTTGATTCGGGTGCGGTTTGCCGCGGGAGGCCGGGGAGATGGTTAGCGGCGTCAGTCTGCAGCTCCCTTCCCACCCTGCATGCCCTGAGACAGGCCTGTTGGAAGTTTGGGGAGGTCACGAATGGGAGAGAAAGAGAACACAACTCTGCAGGCCTCGGTAATGTAGACTAACGAGAAAACAATAACAAAAAGAATTTTATATCCAGCAACATTAATCAAGAAGTGCTTCCTTGGGGAAAAGTGTATTTTGAGCAGGGTTGTGAAGGGAATTGTTGGTGGGAAAGGGGGAGATGGTAACAGCTAGTGAATGAGGTTGCATGTACAAGCAGTGTGTTTGGCCGAAGCAGAAGATATGTTTACTAGGATAAAGAAAAATGAAATTGAGGAACAGGAAGTGACCTGCAGATTCAGGGACTTATTAGGTTGTTCTGAGGATTTCTCAACCCACCCTTTGGGACATGACTAGGTTTTGATCGTTTTCAGGTGGACACATGACCTATGTGTTGAGGAGGATCAGAAAGTGAAGTCTGGGCCAGGCACGGTGGCTCACGCCTGTAATCCCAGCATTTGGGAGGCCGAGGCAGTGGATCACTTGAGGTCAGAAATTCCAGACCAGCCTGGGCAACATGGCAAAACACCGTCTCCACTAAAAATACAAAAATTAGGCTGGCGTGGTGGTGAGCACCTGTAATCCCAGCTACTGGGGAGGCTGAGGCAGGAGAATCACTGGAACCCAGGAGGTAGAGTTTGCAGGTTGCAGTGAACTGAGATCACACCACTGCACTCCAGCCTGGGTGACAGAGTGAGACTCTGTCTCAAAAAAGAAAGAAAGTGAAGTCTGGTCCAGTATAGCATCTCATAAACGTTTATTAAATTGTTTCACTTCTCCAGAAAATTACAGTAAGCTAAATTTGTGAACCAGAATCTATGAGAAAAGGCTTGATGCAGAATAGGAGGGGTTATGAATCTCCAATTAATTAATTAATTAATTAATTTTTTTTTAGAGATGGGTTTCACCTTGTTGGCCAGGTTGGTCTCAAACTCCTAACCTCAGGTGATCCACCCACCTCGGCCTCCCAAAGTACTGGGATTACAGGTGTGAGCCACCATACTCGGCCCCTAATTTCTTTTCTTTTCTTTCTTTCTTTTCTTTTTTTTTTTTTTTTGCTTTTTCTGTTTTTAAGAGACAGGGTCTCACTATGTTGCCTGGACTGGTCTTGAACTCCTGAGCTCAAGTGATCTTTTTTCCAAGTATTTTGGTTGATGGCACTACCCAGGCTTAAAACCCCAGATACAGTATCTACTTGAACAAGTCCTCAATATCTACTTGAACAAGTCCTATAAATTCCACTTCTCTAATGTTCTTCCACCCATGCTCTCCTTTCCATTCCTTTTACTGCCACTCTGCCTCAGATCTTTATTACTTTTCTTTTATTATTATTTTATATATATATAAATATATATATTATATTATTTTATTTTTTTAAATATGGATGAGAATGGTGGCTCATGCCTGTAATCCTAGCAATTTGGGAGGCTGAGGTGGGTGGATCACCTGAGGTCAGGAGTTTCAGACCAGCCTGGTCAACAGAATGAAGCCCCGTCTCTACGAAAAATACAAAAATTAGCCGGGTGTGGTGGCACATGCCTGTAATCCCAGCTGTTTAGAAGAATTGCTTGAACCTGGGAGATGGAGGTTATAGTGAGTTGTGATCGTGCCATTGCACTCCAGCCTGGGCGACAGAGGGAGACTCTGTCCTAAATGAATGAATGAGTGAGAGGAGGAACTACTGACCTCAAGTGTTCCTCCTGCCTCAGCCTCCCAAATTGCTGGGGTTACAGGTGTGAGCCACTGCACCCAGCTGTGATTCTTTAATTTATCAGCCTGATTATTTGTTTGTTTATTTTTAAGCAAGAGAAACCAAGTAACAAAATTTAGATTTTTGGCTTCTCTTTAATTCCAAAGATTTGGCACTGCTACCACCCACCCCTCCTCCTTCTTTCAAGGTTGTAATTGACTAGAGCTGAGTAGCTGCCTCTTTTAAAAGGACTGGTGATACCTAATTTGTCCTTACCACTTCCTGTTTTCTCCTCTTTACTGAGACCTAGTGTTGGGTGCCATTGATCACTATTCTCTCCTGTTATTTTTATTAGTAGCAGTACAGAAATGGTTTTCTGTACCAACGCCTCTATCAAAACTGGTAAATGCTGGGCTAAGAGGACCACATATTCCAAAAAGTAGGGGGAAGCATATTTCTTCATGGAAGTGGATAATTTTCTTGTGCATTTACTGTGCAAACACTTGGCTCACTTTACTCATTTACATTATCTTGCTGGCTTCTAGGTGTTTGAATACATGTCCCTTGTTTTATTTTATTTTATTTAGACGGAATTTTCACTCTTGTTGCCCAGGCTAGAGCGCAGTGGCACAATCTCAGCTCATTGCAACCTCCACCTGTCAGGTTCGAGCAATTCTGTCTCAGCCTACCGAGTAGCTGGGATTACAGGCACATGCCACCATGCCTGGCTAATTTTTTGTATTTTTAGTAGAGATGGGGGTTTGCCATGTTGGCAAGGCTGGTCTCGAACTCCCGACCTCAAGTGATCTGCCCACCTTGGCCTCCTAAAGTGCTGGGATTACAGGCATGAGCCGCAATGCCTAGCCGTGACCCCTTTTTTAGAGAGACTAATTCGATAGCAGTATAAATATGAGAGTACAGATATGGGCGAGAGAGACCAGAGACAGATGAGCGATAGTTCAGATGAAAAGTAATGAAGACACCAGGCACTGTGGCACATGCCTCTAATCTTAGCACTCTGGGAGGCAGGAGGATTCCTTGAGGCCAGTAGTTCGAGACCTGCCTGGTCAACATAGCTCAAGACTCCATCCTTGTAGTCTTGTCTTTTCCCCTGCCATCCAGAGATTACATGCACCAAGTAATAAAATAGTAATAATAAAAGAAAAGAAAAGTAATGAAGATCTGAGGCAGAGTGGTAATAAAAGGAATGGAAAGGAAAGCATGGGTGCAAGAACATTACAGAAGTAGAATTTGTAGGACTTGTTCAAGTAGATATTGAGGGATGAAAGCAGACCAAGATGTATCTGAGGTTTTAAGCCTGGGTGGTGCCATCAGCCAAAATAGCTGGAAAGAGGAACCATGTTTAGCATGAAAATGTTTTCAGTTTTGGGTTGGCTGCTCGTTGACATTACTAGGGAACTCAGGTGACTTGTACATGTGATTCCAGAGCTCAGAGACTGATCAGAGCAGAAGAAACAGATTTCAGTGTCACTTTCATAGTGGTGTGATTGGAGGCTATGCAGGATGAGATTGCCAAGGAAGAGCTTAGAAGTAGGTAAGAAAGCCTAGGCCCTGTTATCCAGTCTGGTGCAGTGGTGCAGTCTTGGCTCACTGCAACCTTCACCTAGCTTCAAGTGATTCTCCTGCCTTACTTACCCTCCTGAGTAGCTGGGACTACAGGCACATACCACCATGCCTGGCTAATTTTTGTATTTTTAATAGAGACGGGGTTTCACCATGTTGGCCAGGATGGTCTCAATCTCCTGACCCTGTGATCTGCCTGTCTCAGTCTCCCAAAGTGTTGTGATTACAGGCGTGAGCCACTACACCTGGCCTATATTTCCTCTTAAACTTTCTTTCTTTCTTTTTTTTTGAGATGGTATCTCACTCTGTCACCCAGGCTGGAGTGCAGTGGCATGATCTTGGCTCACTGCAACCTTCATCTCCCAGGTTCAAGCAATTCTCCTGCCTCAGCCTCCCAAGTAGCTGGGACTACAGGTACCTGCCACTGCACCCAGCTAATTTTTTTTTAAAATTTTTAGTAGAGACAGGGTTTCACTCTGTTGAACCAGGCTGGTCTCGAACTCATCACCTTGTGATCCATCCGCCTCAGCCTCCCAAAGTGCTGGGATTACTGGAGTAAGCCACCATGCCTGGCCAAATAAATACGCCAGTTTCTAGCACAACCCTGGGAATGCCCATAGGTATGTGCTACCCATGTAAATATCAGTTATGTGTTATAGCTGAGAAAAAGTTGAGAACTGATAGTTAAGGGGATCTGGTAGGAAAGAATCTGGCACAGAAGTCTAAGAAGAGCAGTTAGAGATTAGAAAATCAGTATAGTACAATACCATAGCAGCTAAAGGAAATGAGCATTTCCCAATGAGAAAGAGATCACTAGTGTCCGAGACCATGGATAAGAACTGAGCAAATGCCATGGATTTGGTGGTTAGCAGGGCACTGATGACCTTGGAGCATGTAATCTCTGGATGGTAAGGGCAAAGACCAGACTACAAGGATTTATGCAAGTAAATGATAAGGAAGAGGAAGTAGTGAGTGTCAGCTATTTTTTTCAAATTGTTTAGCAGTGAAGCTTCTTTGCTTTACTGAGCAAATGATATAGGTGTAGCAGAACAGAGGGAGTGCTTTTGATTTGAAGGAAATATGAATATATTGCTGTATAGAGAGGAAGGTGCCAGGAGAGAGGGAGAATTTGGAAATGGAAGTAAAGGAGATGATTGAAGAGAGGCCCTGAAGAAGTAGAAGTGTTTTGGATCAAGAGCACAAGAGGAGCAGGTTGTCTCAGGGAGAATAGGAACACTTCTGCCTCTTGGGAAGATATTAAGATCCAGAGCGGTTTAGAAGTAAGGCAGAGAGAAAAACCAACCAAACAAACAAAAAACAAAAAAAGAAGTAAGGCAGAGAGATTGAAGCAGCTTATGTTAATGGACTTGGCCTTTAAGAAAGTTGGAGTAGAGGCTATTTACTTTGAATGAGGTTGGGGAAAGAACTGAGGATATGAGAAGCAGATAGATGGTTTGGAAATGCCGCTGCATAAAATGCAATAGAGAATCATACATGGTAATGAATGAGTTACTAAGAAGTAGTGAGGTCCTAGCTGATAGTATATATATTGTATGTATATAAGTTAAATGTTTTCACGCTGTAGAAGTACCAAGACTATTTCACCTCCCTTTTCTTAAGACATGAGTTTATCATTTTCCTTTGTAACCATGATCCTGAACCTTCTGGATCTTGTTTGGTTTAAATAGTTTGCTGATTCTTGCCTGAATTTCTACTTAGACTTTCAGAGTACATAGGCTGAGTTATAAATGTCTCAAATTAAAAATGGCCCACTCATTTGACACATCCTAGATCCTGCCTTGGACTACCATTTAGCCTATACTCCCGTGTTCTAATGGTCACATCTTAAAGGCATCACATCTTCTGTTTAATTTTCAAGCCACCAGTGAAGACTATAAGCTCCTGGAAAATATGAATAAACTCACCAGCTTGAAGTATCTTGAAATGAAAGATATTGCTATAAACATTAGCAGGAACTTAAAGGACTTAAACCAGAAATGTAAGTAATAATATTTGTAATGAAGCATGTTTGTATTTAATGTTCTTTTGTGCTTGGGGCCATGGAAAAGAGGAAGGAACATGACAGTTTTGTCTTGTGGGAGCTTGTTTTCTTTCTTTTTTTTTTTTTTTTTTTTTGAGACACAGTTTTGCTCTTGTTACCCAGGCTGGAGTGCAATGGCGCGATCTCGGCTCACCGCAACCTCCGCCTCCTGGGTTCAGGCAATTCTCCTGCCTCAGCCTCCTGAGTAGCTGGGATTACAGGCACGCACCACCATGCCCAGCTCATGTTTTGTGTTTTTTAGTAGAGACGGGGTTTCACCATGTTGACCAGGATGGTCTCGATCTCTTGACCTCGTGATCCACCCGCCTCGGCCTCCCAAAGTGCTGGGATTACAGGCTTGAGCCACCGCGCCCGGCCGGGAGCTTGTTTTCTTAAAATGAATTCCAAATTTAAGATGAATTCTTCCATTCTGAGGATTAGCATGCTTTGGTGGTATGATTATTTTTGCTTCTAAATCTTGATTTTATCAGTTTATTCTTGGAAGGGGAGGGGGCCAGATTCTAATGAATTGATTTATAAATCCATAAAGCCATCACATCTTCTGATTATTCTATATGCAGAAAACCAAAAACTCTATAATGGAAAACACTAATTGGGAGTAGTCGAGAGTATTTTTCCATTGACTTACTGTATTTGTGTTCCTTGTTTCTAGGGTGCTCTTTCTTCGTATGGGAGTACCCAAGAAACAATCAGTAACAGAAAGCTTGCTCAAGGAGCAAGAAATGAAAAAGAACGGAAAATTAGTAGATGAGAGACACTGACTAAGTCTGGGCCACAGTCGTGCCTGATCAACTAGCTACTGTCTTCTAAAGCACCTGCCCTGCTAATGATCAGAATCATGCCACTCCACCTAATCTGTCGTAGCATAGATGGAGAGACACCAGCATTATTACTTTTCCACTCTTTTCCTATATTCCGTGTTGATACAACCATATAAACTTGAGGTTTTTCTTTGTTTTTAAAGATGCTGGACTGCAGCCTTATCTGGATCAGATTAACGTCATTGAAGAGCAGGTAGCAGCTCTTGAGCAGGCAGCTTACAAGTTGGATGCATATTCAAAAAAACTGGGTAACCATTTTATTTCTGTTTTGATGTAATAAAGAGTACCTCTTGCCAGCATGTCCTTAGTAAACATGATAGTTAACATTTATGGTGTGCCTACAGTGATCTATTAATCTTCACAAAACCTTAGTAATTTATTATTACATTAATAAAAATAACATTTCCTGATTACTTAATGATCTATCAGGCACTATTCTTAGTGCTTTGCACGTATTATGTTTTTTACCTTCTCAATAATCTGTGAGGTAAGTACATGATTTTTATCCCCATTTTGTAGGCAAGGAAACTGGTTTGAGGGGATAAGTAACTTGCTTAAGGACACAAAGCTAGTATATGGAAAAGCTAGTATATTTCTAAGCAGGTCTGTTTGTTTACAAAGCTCAAGTTTTTATTTGTGGTTGAGAAGGCCGGAGCACCTTTAATAATGTAGATAGGGGCCGGGCACGGTGGCTCATGCCTGTAATCCCAACACTTTGGGAGGCCGAGGCAGGTGGATCACCTGAGGTCAGGAGTTTGAGACGAGCCTGGCCAACATGGAGAAGCCTCATCTCTATAAAAAATAAAATAAAAGGCCGGGCACGGTGGCTCAAGCCTGTAATCCCAACACTTTGGGAGGCCGAGGCGGGTGGATCACGAGGTCAAGAGATCGAGACCATCCTGGTCAACATGGTGAAACCCCGTCTTTACTAAAAATACAAAAAATTAGCTGGGCATGGTGGCGCATGCCTGTAATCCCAGCTACCCAGGAGGCTGAGGCAGGAGAATTGCTTGAACCCAGGAGGCGGAGGTTGCGGTGAGCTGAGATCGCGCCATTGCACTCCAGCCCGGGTAACAAGAGTGAAACTCTGTCTCAAAAAAAAATAAATAAAAAATAAAATAAAATAAATTTTAAAAATGATAATGTAGATAAATATGTCTTAAATAGTTAGTTGAGGGTTTTCTTGAAGGATCACTTTTCCTTTGAGGAAGAAACTAGTATTTTTAGTGCTAGTGGCTTGCTAACTGGCTCTGGCTCTTATACACATGGTTAAAAGTAATGAGTTTAGTGGGTTTTTGGTTGTTGTCGTTTTGTTTTGTTTTTTTATAAGAGATGAGGTCTTGCTGTATCACCCAGGCTAGGGTGCATTGGTGTGATCATAGCTCACTGTAGCCTTGAATTCCTGGGCTCTAGTGATCCTCCTGCCTCAGCCTCCTGAGTAGCTGGGACTACAGGTGTGCGCCATCACATCTAGCTACTTTAAAAATTTTGTGTTTGAAGCAAGGCCTTGCTCTGTTGCCCAGGCTGGTGTCGAACTCGTGTCCTCAAGCAGTCCTCCCACCTCAGCCTCTCAAGTAGCTAGAATCACAGGCCTGAGCTACCACATCTGGCCTGAGTTTGTTTTTGTCCTAGATAACATTTACAGATTATTTTAGTTTCATCTTTTAGCAGGGTGGATGGACTACTTTAAGAGGGTAGTTTGTAGTAGGCTGGGATTTGATATGGGTGGTGATTAACCATCAGTTTCATTGTCTACAATTACATTTGGCCAATGATTACTGTGAACCTTACTGCACAGAAGGCAGAGGTAACCTTACCATGTAGAAGGTATCTTAGTTCACAGTAACCATTTGTGACAGAGTCCCTTTTTCTGTTAAAATTGTGAAACCAGGTGCTTTCATGGTTTTAACAGAAAAAATGGAATGTCACAATAAGAGGCTTATTTCCGTATCTTTCAAAATTGCTTTCCTGGAGAAAGGTATAAGGATAAGAACATAAAAGGGGAAACATACATTTATATCATCTAAGGGTTCCAATCTGGTTCCAGAGGGCACCTGGGACAGTGCTGAGAGAAGCAGTTTTTATTAAGGCTCCTGATAGGTCAAGTGACAAATCTGCCTCATCCTGGTGGAGCTGTCTAAGCAGCTGCTGTTGACAGGGTTAGGACTTGTAAACCTGGGTGAGCTTCTCAATTCTGGGTGTCTGTGCTTGACTTCTTCCAAGTTTTACAGATCAATGATCTGTATATTTGGACAGATGGTGAGATTGAAGCTAATAGATTTTTAGTGGAAATGCTAACTAAAAACTGTCTTTGTAAGAGCTACTTTAAAAGATGTAACTCTCTTTCATCCCTCACAGAAGCCAAATACAAGAAGCTGGAGAAGCGATGAGAAACTTATTTTTATGGGATAGAGCCTTTTTTTCAACATGGAAGAATGTTTTATAAAACCCGAATCCTGAGGCTGATGAATTGTGAAAACTCCTCAAAGGGAAACTATGCTGGTCATCCCAGGAACATCTCAACGTTGGAGTAAACTGGAGGACTGTGGCTATTCATGAACCTTCTTTGAGGCAGTATCCCTCAGAATCTCACACTTAAAACTACTTACCTTTTACTGGAATGCTTTGCCATATTCAGGACAGAGACTCTCTCAAAGTTCAGAATACAGCTGGGCTTGCCAGTGAAATGAAATGAGAGGACCTGTTTTCTCTGGTAGTGGATGAAGACTATATTATTTTCTTAAGTGGCTGGTTTTTTAGTTACTATGTAAAGGGTTGTTTTTTTCTGTTAATGATGCTAATGTGTTATAAACAAGATTCTAGATCTTAAAAGGAAAAGAAAACAAACTTGGTTCTTTGCAGTTTATCACCCTGTGAATGTCAGTAACTTACTTTTCATAATATTGCAAATAACATAAAATCTTAAAATAACTCCAAGCTGAGTCTTCTAGATTGAGCAGAAATGGTGAAAGGAATGTTGATAACTTGGTGTATGTGATGGCCCCTCTTGTTTATTTTCTATGTGAATCAGATTGACATGTGGCCGTTTTGGAAATGTGATGAAGACAAAGACTAGATGGGTATTTATCTTTATGTGTTGGGTGGGGAGGTGAGGATCGCCACTCATAAAGGATTTTATAAAATACCTTCCTACTGTGTGTTTAGTTTCGGGGGGGTCTTAGGGACCTAATCGACTTCTTTTCACGCTAAAGACATCAGCGAATGGGACATACTGAATGACCAGTCTAAGTTGAAAGATAGGCAGCCTTACCCAAAACACAAAGATACACTTAGGTTGATTGCATATTAGCAGCTGGGAAGGTGTCTGAGGTCCCCAGTTACATCTCTCAAATTCTTACTTCTCTTTCTGTCATTTCCCCTCTGTTCCAGACCAACATCATTTATCCTCTATTCTTCTGGACTGTTGCTGTGGTCTCTTCTCATCTTAACTGTTCCTCCAAATCACCCTTCACTGCTGCCAGAGCAATCTTAAAAATATAAACTGGCCATATTACTCCTGCTTAGAATCCTATAGTGACTTATCATGGCCTCTTTGAAAAAGCTGGACTTTTAGTATGCATACAAGTCCCTTTGTTTGTTTGTTTGTTTATAGACAGGGTCTCTTGTCACCCAGGCTGTATTGCAGTGGTGTGGTAATAGCTCCCTGCAGCCTTGACTCAACTGATCCTCGTACCTCAGCCGCCTGAATAGCTAGGACTACCTGCACACTCCCCCATGCCTTGCTAGTTATTTTTGGTACAGATGGAGCCTCACTATGTTGTCTTCATCCTCCCATCCCCACTACCTTTCCTGGCCTCTGGTAACCACCAATCTACCTCCATCTCCATAAGATCCAGTTTTTTAGCATCCACATGTGAGTGAGAACATGTAATTTGTCTTTTCTGTGCTTGGCTTAGTTCAGTCAACACAGTGACCATGACCAACAGTTTGATCCATGTTGCTGAGAATCACAGGATTTCATTCCTTTTATGGCTGAATGATCTTCCATTGTGTATGCACACACCACATTTTCTTTACCCATTCATCCATTGACGGGCACTTAGGTTGATTCCATATTTTGGCTATTGTGAATAGTGCTGCAGTAAACATGAGAGTGCATATATCTCTTTGATACATTGATTTCCTTTCTTTTGGATACATACCCTGTAGTGGAATTTGCTGGATCATATTGTAAATCTATTTTTAGTGTTTGGAGGAAACTTCATACAATTTTCCATAGTGGCTGTACTAATTTACATTCCTACCAACTGTGTACGAGAATTCTTTCTCTGCATCCTTGCCAGAATGTTGGTTCCTGTCTTTTTGACAGGAAATCTTAAGTGGTATGATATCTTATTGTTTTGATTTGCATTTCTCTGATGAGCATTTTTTTCTTATAGCTGTTGGCCATTTGTATGGCTTAAGAAATGTCTATTTTGATCTTTTGTCCCCCTCCTTATTTTTAATTTTTTTTTTTTAAAGAGATGAGTTCTCCTCATTATGTTGCACATGCTGGAATCACACTGGGCTCAAACAGTCCTGTTGGGGCTGAGGCTTGTAATCCCAGCACTTTGGGAGGCTGAGGCAGGTGGATCACCAGTGGCCGGGAGTTCGAGGCCAGACTGGCCAACATAGCAAAACCCCGTTTCTACTAAAAATACAAAAAATAGCCCGGCATGGTGGTGAGCACCTGTAATCTCAGCTACTTGGGAGGCTGAGGCAGGAGAATCACTTGAACCCTGGAGGTGGAGGCTGCAGTGAGCTGAGACTGCACCACTGTATTCCAACCTGGGTAACAGAGACTCCATCCCCCAACCCCTGTCCCCCCAAAAATCCTCCTGCTTCAGCCTTCTGAGTAGCTGGGACTGCAGGCAATCACCACCACATGTGACATTTGCCCATTTTAAAATATAATTATTTATGGTATTTTTGCTATTGAGTTGTTTGAGCTCCTTATTTTATTTATTCCAGTTATTAATACCTTGTCAGATGGATACTTTGCAAATATTTTCTCCCATTCTGTGGGTTGTCTCTTCACTTTGTTGATTGTTTCCTTTGCTGTGCAGAAGTTTTTTAGTTTGATATAATCCTGTTAGTCTATTTTTGCTTTTGTTGCCTGTGCTTTTGAAATCAAAAAATTTTTGCCCAGATCATTGTCTTGGAAGAGACTGTCCTTTCTTGATTGTATGTTTTTGGCACCTCATTGTATGTTCTATGTACTTTTGGTGCTAACATAAAATGAGTTGGCTGTAAATGCATGGATTTATATGCGAGTTTCTGTTCCATTGGTCTATGTGTCTTATTTTTATGCCAGTACCATACCGATTGGGTTACTATTGCTTTGTAGTAGATTTTGAGGTTGGGTAGTGTGATGCCTTCAGCTTTGTGCTTTTTGTTCAGGATTACTTTGGCTCTTTGGGGTCTTTTGTGGTTCTACATAGATTTTGTAATTTTTTTTTCTATTTCTATTTCTGTAGAGCAGTGGTTCCTAACCTTTTTGGCACCAGGGGCAGCTTTTGTGGAAGTCAATTTTTCCATGGGTGTGGGGGGAGCAGGGGGGGTGGATTTTAATGGTATGAACCTATTTATTGAAAATATTATTTCTTGCCTTTCTCAAATTGAAGACTGCAAAAAATAAAAGTGGTGCTTTATTGTCAAATTGAAGACTGCAAAAAATAAAAGTGGTGCTTTATTGAGTTGTCATTAACCTCGAGAGCAGTGGTGCTGCCTCTCCACACTCTGGAAACGGTGGAAACTGTGGCTGGCACATGCCACATCTATCCCACTGTGCTTTACAAAACAGTCCTGAAGCTTAGTCAAATAAAACAATAGTGTATGACATTTACATTAGAAAAAGAGAGCTGAGTGTAGGAATGGGGGGGATGGTTCGGGCGTCAGATTTTTTTTTTTTTTTTTTTTCAGATGAAGTCTTGCTCTGTTGCCCAGGCTGGAGTGCAGTGGGGTGATCTCGGCTTATTGCAACCTCTGCCTCTCAGGTTCAAGTGATTCTCTTGCCTCAGCCTCTGAGTAGCTGGGATGACAGGAGTGTGCCACCACACCCGGCTTATTTTTGCATTTTTACAAGAGACAGGGGTTTCAAGTGCTGGTCAAGCTGGTTTTGAACTCCTGACCTCGTGATCTGCCTGCCTTGCCCTCCCAAAGTGCATAAGCCACCTCACCTGGCCTACATCAGATTCTTTGCCCTAGAACCCTCACATGCACAGATCACAATAAGGTTCTGGCCTCTATAAATAATCGAATGCCACCACTGATGTGACAGGAAGCAAGCTCAGGTGGTTATGCTCACTTGCCTACCACTCACTTCCTGCTGTGCATTCTGGTTCCTAACAGGCTACAGATGGATACTGGTCCATAGCCCAGGGTTGGGGGATCCTTGCTCTGGAGAATGCCGTTTGTATTTTGATAGGGATTGCATTGAACTATAAATTGCTTTAGGTAGTGTGGTCATTTTAACAATATTAATTCTTCCAATCCATGAGCATGGAATATCGTTCCCTTTTTTGGTGTGTTCTCTTTAATTGCTTTCATCAGTATTTTATAGCTTTTCTTGTATAGATCTTTCACTTCTTTGGTTAAATTGATTCCTAGGTAGTTTATATTCTTTGTAGCTATCGTAAAATGGGATTGCTTTCTTGATTTCTTTTTCAGATTGTTTGCTGTTGGTGCATGTAAATGCTACTGGTTTTTGTATGTTGATTTGGTATCCTGCAACTTTTACTGAATTCATTTATTATTTCTAACAGTCTTTTTTGTGCAGTCTTTTGGTTTTTCAATACAGATGAGTTTTTTTTGTTTTGTTTTGTTTTTGTTTTGTTTTTTAATACCAGTCAGGCCCCTCTGCTGTAGGACTGCTGAGGTCCACACAGATGGGTTTTAATATCTTACTTTTGTATCCTCTTCTTGGAATTATTACCTGCTCATGTTTGGCAAACTTCTCTTCTTCAAGATTCAGTCTTGAGTGCCACTCCTGAGCAGTGCTGTATTATTCAAAGAGTAGGAAAAAATGCATGCTTTTGTGACAGCAAAGCAGAGGCATCAGTGTTTATGAGGCAAGAAACGAACCAACGAAAAAGAGGCCTTGCAGAAGCTTTGGGAAAAGCCAGAACTTTGTAGTTTTGTTTGTTTGTTTGTTGAGACAGGGTCTTGGTCTGTCACCCAGGCTGGAGTGCAGTGGCAAGGTTATAGCTTACAGAAGCCTCTATCTCCTGGGCTCAAGTGATCCTCCCACCTCAGCCTCTGGAGTAGCTGGGAGTATAGGCATGTGCCGCCCTGCTCAGCTAATTTTTTTTTTTTTTTTTTTTTAATTTGTAGTAGGGACAAGGTCTTGCTATGTTGCCCAGGTTGGTCTTGAACTCCTGGTCTCAAGTGAATCTCTTGCCTCAGCCTCCCAAAGTGCCGGGATTACGGGCATGAGCCAATGTGCCTGGGCTGTAGTTCTTCTTTAAACTTATTTTATGTTTTTTTTTTTTTTTTTTTTTTTGAGGCGAAGTTTCGCTCTCGTTACCCAGGCTGGAGTGCAATGGCGCGATCTCGGCTCACTGCAACCTCCGCCTCCTGGGTTCAGGCAATTCTCCTACCTCAGCCTCCTGAGTAGCTGGGATTACAGGCACGTGCCACCATGCCCAGCTAATTTTTTTTTTTTTTTTTGTATTTTTAGTAGAGACGGGGTTTCACCATGTTGACCAGGATGGTCTCGATCTCTTGACCTCGTGATCCACCCACCTCGGCCTCCCAAAGTGTATTTTATGTTTTAATTAGTTTTGAATTATTTGGATGCCCTTGATGAGTCTTCCCTTCCCCACCGTCGTCAGGAACTCTCTCGTTTCCATTTCCTTACACACTTTTTTTCTACCATTTGGCCTGAGCCCTTCAAAAAGTCAGTATTATGAAAACTAAAACCAAAGAGGTAAGAGGGCTTTTGTAGATTAAAATAGACTAGAGACCAAACAAAATGCAAGTGTGAAACTTGATTGGATCTTGAATCAAAACAAGCCCCAAATATAAAATCAATTTAGGGGGACAAACGGTGAACTTTAAATATGGATGTATATTAGGCGATATTATTGAATTAATGTTACTTTTCTTAGATGTATTAATAGTATTATGGTTATGTAGAAGGCTGTC